TCTGTGTGTGTGTGCCAAACGACAAAATTGCAAAATATGTGAAGCAGAGACTGAACTGAAAAGGGAAATGGACAAATCCATAAACACATGTGACTGAAGTGTGTCCCTCCAAAATTCCTATGTTGAAGTCCTAACCCCACTGTGACTGTATTTGGAGATAGAGCTTTTAGGATGTAATTAAGGTTCAATGAGCTCATAAGGATAAGGTCCTAATCCAGTTGGATTGCTGGCCTTACAGGTGGCGGGAGGGAAGGCGGGAGGGAGAGCTCTAGATACAGATACAGTGGAAAGACCATGTGAGGACATAGGGAGAGGGTGTCCACCTACAAGCCAGGAAGTGAGTCCTTTCCAGAAACTGACCCTGCCAGTCCTTGATCTGGGCCTTCCCAGCCTACTTCTTATTTATTGAGAAATAAATTTTTGTTTTTGAAGCCTCCCAGCCTATGATATTTTGTATGGCAGCCTGAGAAGACTAATACAATAAACAGAAACTTCAGTTGGAGACTATCAACAGCTGATAGAATAACTAGAGAGAAAACCATCAAGGGTAAACTAGAACTCACCACCACCAACCAACAAGATCTCACTGACACAAGAGAACAATCTGGCCCACAACAGCAGAATGCACATTGTTTTCAAGTGCCCATGGAACACATACTAAGATAAACCAATCCTGGGTCATAAAACAAACCTCAACAAATTTAAAAGAATTAAAATCATATACAACATGTTCTTGACCCACAACAGAATCAAACTGTGAGAAAGGATATTTCTGGTTTTGTTAAAACATTCAGTTTGTGCTAATTTGTTACAGCTACCATAGGAAACTAATTCATCCCTAGAGCCTCATATAGCTCAGCCCACATCTTAATTTTAGCTGGTAAGATCCATGGTGGACTTCTGACACCCTGAACTGTAGATAATAAATTTGCCTTATCTCAAGGCACTAAATCTGTGGTACTTAATACTTAATTTCTTCAACTTAATTAAGAACATTTACAAAAAACCTACAACCAACATTATATTTAATGGTGAAAAACTGAATGTTTTCCCCTTGAAGACTAGGAACAAAAGAAAGTATTCCACATTACCAGTCTTCAAATTCTGAGAGCTCTAGCCAGTACGACAAAGCAAGAAAAGGAAATAACAGGCATCTGCATCAGAAAAGAAATAAAGCTGCCTTTATTTGAAGATTACATGATTGTCTATATAGAAAATTCCCAAAAATCTAAAAACAAAAATTATTACAAAAAGTGAGTTAAGATCACAAAATACAAAATAAACCTGTATAAGTCCATTCTATTTGTACCAATGAACATGTGGACACCAAAACAAAAAATAAAACACCATTTGTAATCACCTAAAAAAAATCCTTAGGTGTAAGTCCAACATATTAAAGTCTTATATGATAAAAACTATATAGTCCTGGGGCACCTGGCTGTCTCAGTCAGAAGAGTGTTTGACTCTTTTTTTTTTTTTTAAAGATTTTATTTATTTATTTGACAGAGAGAGATCACAAGTAGAGAGGCAGGCAGAGAGAGAGAGAGAGTGAGAGAGGGAAGCAGGCTCCCTGCTGAGCAGAGAGCCTGATGCGGGACTTGATCCCAGGACCCTGAGATCATGACCTGAGCCGAAGGCAGCGGCTTAACCCACTGAGCCACCCAGGCGCCCCGAGTGTTTGACTCTTGATCTCAGGGTTGTGAGTTTGAGCCCCACACAGGGTATAGAGATTACTAAAAAAAAAAAATAAAACTTTAAAAAAAATCTGCAGTCCTGATGAAAGACTCAAAAAAGATCTAAACAACTGGAGAAATATACCATATTCATGGACTAGAACTTTCAACTTGGTAAAGATGTCGATTCTCCCCAAATTGATATACAGGTTTAACATAATATCTATTAACATTCCAGCAAGGCATTTTTTTGGTGCTTTTTTTTTTTTTGTAGATACAGACAAGATTAGTCCATGGAAAGGCAAAGAAACTAGAATAGCTTAAAAAAAAAATTGAAGCAGAAGAATTAAGTGGAAAGAATCAGTCTACTCAATTTTAAGACTTAATATATAGCTACAGTAATCAATACTGTGTTGTATGGAAGAGAGACCGTCTCGTAGATCAGTGGAACAGAATAGAAAACCCAGAAAACGGACCCAGACAAATATGCCCAACTTATAAAGTGCAACTGGAACAACTGGACATCCACAGACAAGAGGGAAAAAAAGTACCTCAACTAAGTCTCACACCTTACACAAAATTAACTGTAAATGAATCATAGACTTAAATGTAAAACACAAAACTATACAACTTTTGGGGCGCCTGGGTGGCTCAGTGGGTTAAAGCCTCTGCCTTCGGCTCAGGTCATGATCCCGGGGTCCTGGGATCGAGCCCCGCATCGGGCTCTGTGCTCAGCAGGGAGCCTGCTTCCTCCTCTCTCTGACTGCCTCTCTGCCTACTTGTAATCTCTGTCTGTCAAATAAATAAATAAAATCTTAAAAAAAAAAAACAACTATACAACTTTTAGCAAAAAAACTTAGGAGGAAATCTTGGGGCTCTAGGGCTGAGTAAAGAGTTCCTAACTTGACAGCAAAAGCACAATCCATAAAAAGAAAACCTGGTAAGGTGGACTTCATCAAAATTAAAGCTTTTATGCATCAAAGGACACTATCAAGAAAAGACTATCCACAGAATAGGAAAATACATTTGCCAATCATTTACCTAACAAAGGTCTACTATCCAGAATTTATAAAGAACTCTACAACTCAACAACAAAATCACCCAATTAAAAAATGGGCATGGGGCGCCGGGGTGGCTCAGTGGGTTAAAGTCTCTGCCTTCAGCTCAGGTCATGATCCCAGGGTCCTGATTGAGCCCTACATCAGGCTCTATGCTCAGCAGGGAGCCTGCTTCCCCCTCTATCTCTGCCTGCCTCTCTGCCTACTTGTGATCTCTGTCAAATAAATAAATAAAATCTTTAAAAAAAAATGGGCAAAGGACTAAAATAAACATTTTCCACCAAAGAGATACAAATGCCCAAGAAAAGATACCCAAGACCACTATCAGGGAAATGCAAATCAAACCACAGTGAGATTTCACTTCACACCCACCAAGATTTCTGTAATTAAAAAAGAAAAAAAAAAAAAAATCAGGGAACCTGAGTGGCTTAGTCAGTTGAGCATCTCTTGGTTTTAGCTCAGGTCATCATCTCGGGTCGTGGGACTGAGCCCTGCTGTGTTGGGCTCTGCACTCGGCAGGGAGCCTGCTCAGGGTTCTCTCTCTCCCCCTGCCCCACCCCTACTCATGTGCACACACACTCTCTCTCTTTCTCTCAAATAAATAAATCTTTAAAAAAAGAGAGAAAGAAAATTTGTTGAAACAAAGAGCAAAGTAGTGTCTGCCAGAGGCTTGGGGGAGGGAAGAATAAAAAGTTAATGGGTATGTGATTTCCTTTGAAGTGATGAAAAGGTTCTAGAAGTAGACAGTGGTGATAGTTGACCAATATTGTAAATATACTAAATGTCACTGATGGCAAATTTTATATTATGTGTATTTTCCCTTAGTGTTAAATATATACCTCAAGCCATGGACAGGATGAAATGGAGGTCAGGATCCCTGTCTCCTCAGTGTGGAAGCACAAGAAAATCAACTTGAAATTTCTAAGAAATGGATCATTCCAGATTCTAATTATGAAGTATAAAGCAAGGTTTTACTGTAAGCACAGTGTCTGCACCCATGACCCAGGCAGTCCTTTTCACAGAGGTCCCTTCAGCACACCTCTGTCTCTAAGATAAAGTGGCTTCCAAAATGTGGACTTTGGAGAAATTCAAATTAATCATTGCAAATCAGAGAATCCATCTAGGCAAGCTTCACTACTTCTCAAACATGCCCTTTTTCTGGGCTTCCCCAACCTGAGGATGTCTCTCCAGGCCCTCCAGGGTTTCTGGTCGTGGCCACACTGCTAACCCAGCTGTGTCACCCATCTCTCTGGAAAAGAAGTCAGTTAGGAACAAACCCGAGGGTGATGGAACTCAAATACCCCTTCTGTCATTCTTCCCAGATTCTGTGTATTCCAGGCGGCCCCCTCCATTCCCCAAATGCTGAGAACATTGTTTCTCTTCCCATTACCTTGAGAGCACATAAGTGAAGGTTCATTTTCTTTTGTCCATTATTTAGAAAGGGCCAGATCTAAATGGAACCTTATCCTCGTTTGGCTCTACTAGGTAGAGCTGGTCTGTGGCAGTCAGCCTGAGGAGGATGGGTGGGATCTCTCTGATGCCAGGAGGCATGCCCAGGCCCTTCCCAGAACCTCTCTCATTTGTGATGCCAACACGAGCTCACAACCCCCAACTGCCAACGGAGTCCCGGATGGAAGCAGTACCACTTCTAAATGCCCACGTCACCTCTGTCGGAGAAGGGTATCTAAGCTTAGAGATGAGGGGCCAGGGAGCTCACGCAGCTGGAGACCAGGACGAGCAAGAGACTTGATGAGAGTCAGTCACTGACCAAACAGGCCAAGCCTCCCCTCCGGCGACTGGAGAGAGAGAAATCCCCTGAGCTCCGAGACTGCGCTCTGCAGAACACTTGCTCGCAGCCAACACCCACTTCCCTGCCGCCTGTTTGCCCAGCCCTGCCCTTGCAGACCCGGCCACAGAAGCAGCCGCTACTCTACTGACTGCTTGCTGCATCATTTGAAACCTTCAGGAGAATGTGGTCCTGGAAATGAAGTTTCCAATAACTTTTTCAACCACGCCCAAGCCCGCGCCGAACTGACAAAACAAATTTGTGACTTCCAGAGAAGCCCTTCTTCTCATACTTTGGATAATTTTACAGGCTTCTCAGAGCCTCAGAAAAATGCTTTACCCTTAGAGAAATAACTTGGCTTCTCAGCTCTGTGTGCTAAAGGGAGCTCCTAGCCCATGGGGGCACACTGGGGGTCTTCTGCTTCTCGGCTAGTTGGCGGCCCAGAGCACGGGGCCCAGACATAGCCGCGGCACAGGAAAAGCGGAGGACAGCTTGCAGTCCATAAGTTTATTGGTGAATGAGTTTGGGCCAGTTGCTGCTGACATGCTGCTCACTTCAGCCCTGGTGGACTGCCCTCGAGAGGGGAAGAGGGCTTCCTGCTCTGATGGTCGCTGGTGAGATCACCCCAGGAGCATGCCGAGCGCTCGCCTGGGTCCGAGGGGCCGGGGCTTGGAGTCCGTGCAGTCACAGAGACTCCACCTTGGTTTCCAGGGCCTGGGCTGGAGGGATGAGGGTTTTTAGGATCTCCGTGTAGTAGGGGCCAAACACCTTCTGATTGTGATGCGTTAGGCTGACAAACTTTTGGCCCAGTTCTGCCAGTTCTGCTTCAATGACAGTAAGGCCTCCGGGGAGGTCTAACAGGGACCGCTGCACACCAAGGACCAAACAGCATTTGAGAAACAAATGGATCCGCTGATCTGTGAGCGGGGAAGAAGCAAACGACTTTCAGGGAGCAGCCTAGCCCCTCTGCTCTACTCACTCCAGTTCTAAGCTAACTGAGATATTGACTAGCCCACCCACTCACCTGGAGATAAGAACATCCACTCTGTTCAGGAAGGAGGCTTTGATTTTGCTCCCAAGGACAAGGCAAAGATCACAAAGGAGTGAGCTAGTAAATTTCTGACTACTCAAAAGATGACTTAAGCCTTCAAAGTAGATAGATCCTGGTGAGAAACTACCACAAGGCTCTTAGACCTATTCTTTAGATGGCTGAAGTTAAGAGCAAGGTCAAGTTCATGCCCTCCATTCCAACAGGGATGAGTCCTTGCTGTGGGAACACGTCCTCCAGCCAATTCAGCACCAGCTTCTTATTGCTGGGAGGTTGGGGGTAAATGTCATGACTTGGACTACAATCAGAAAATGACCCAGAAGGCCACAGATGACTTAATCAGGTTAGGTGGACAGGATCTCCTAACCAGAAGTCTTAAATTCCTGGGTACAAACCTTCCTTAGAACCAGAATCTCTCTCTAAACTGAAAGGAATATATTTTCAACCCAGCATTTTGAAAAAAACTACAGCCTGAACAGCAACTTGCCCAATGACCCTGCTTTTCACTGTTAAATGGTTCAGTGACTGACTCCCAGGGATGGGATGTACCTCTCCCCAAAACATTCGTGCCACCCCAACATGCATGCTCACCAATGACGCTGCGGACACAGTCCTCCTTCTTGGCAATGTTCTGGAGCTGTCCAATCAGTGAAGCTGTGTTGTCACTGCTCAGAGCAGCAAGCCCCATGTTCCTGAGGCTTTGATGGATTTCCTGAGACACCTGTTCACTCACAGTCTGCATAGCCTCTTCAGGCCTAGACCATGAAGAAGAGGAAGCTGGCACCCAGAGGATGGCCTCGAAAGCTCCACACCAGAAGCTGGGCCCACTTGAGGGAGACTCGCAGCCCCTCTCCTGCCCTCACCCCAGTCCCTGGTAGCAGCAGAACCCAGCGGGCAGGCTCAGCGCCCTCACTGCTATCCACGTCCCGACTATTCTCTAGATATGACACCATGTTCTACTTCTTAGAAAATAAGATAAACCATAAAATCCACCCTGGATAAGTTTGGCGTCAATTCTTCAGCCCCATGGAGTTTATTTATATATGTATACGCATTTTTAAGACTTTGTTGGACATTTTCCATGGTCATTTGTCCTGTCACCAAATACAGTAACCTAGCCTTCTGATTCCTTTTTTCCTCTGGTGTGACACCCTGCACACAGATGCTTGATTAACATCGCTGACTGATCGACTCCCAGATATACCACTGGCATCCCCTCAAGGAAAGAATAATTGCTTTGTAGCAAACAAGGTCATGACTCACTTTGTAGTAAACTACCCTCCAGACTACCCTTTCTGGAGGAGAGCTTTAACTTTGTCACAAGTATCAAGACCATTATAGAAAGACATCAACAAATCCCTGTGGATGGTCCCAGTCTTTGTGGCCCGTGGTGGGATGTAAGCCATCATTCGTTACCTAGCTCCATCTTCAAAGCACACGTGACCATTCCTCTAGAAAAGCTCTACACAGCTCACCTGGAGTCAAACTCCTCTATCAGGTCTTTGGTTATACGTTTCAGCTTATCCACAAACTGAGGTGAGCCAAACAGAACACTGCCAGAGAAACTACTGGCCACCAGCAAGACTGAGGCCAGAAGGGTCAGCCGGTGCAACTGGGACTCCAGCTCCCGAAGCCGGGTCCTGTCCATCAGCAACGTCTGGGGAAGAGGGCAAGAACAGGCTGTCAGGAGGGGAGGGTCCAGACGGGGGTCCCAGATACAGAACAAGGCGATGCCCTCCTCGGGCCCACCTCAGGGAACTCTTCATTCTCAGGATCCCAGAGGAGGAGGTTCAGGAAACCCTGGGACAGCACCATTGTGGGGCTGAGGGGCTCAGGGCTGCTGACTGTCTCATTCGGAGAGGAGCAGGCCATGGTGGTGGAGTCGGAAATGTCCAGGCAAATCGGAAGTGGCGTGGTGAGGTCTACAGCTGCTTGGGTCAGCCACTTGGTGGTGTGGTCAAGGAGGCCTATGACAGGAAGAGAGCGGGGAAGCATCTTCAGCACCCACATCCCTAAAGCTTCAAGACTAAGGTTCTTTTTAAGATTTGTTCCTGGTCAATAAATAAATGCTTTGCTTGGGGGAAGGGGATCTGTCTTAGATAACTCTTCCTTTTCCCTCGTCCTACCTGAGGAAGAAACTTTCTGTTCCCAAGAGACAGAGCACTCTCTAACATCACAGAAGTCAGACCCAGATAAGATCCCATCTTCTCACTCTGGCCCTCAAGTTATTTACATACTTGGCTGCTTATTGAGGAGTTCCTGGAATGTCGCCCGTTCATGCTGGATAGAATGTTCCTGCAGGTGGGGTTGAAGGCTCTGGATAGTATAGTTCACCATGTCCATTTTCATCAGGCCCAGAACCTGGAAGATCCCTCTGACATAAGAGAAAATAAAATACATTATGAAAGGAAATTTAGTGAGAGGGGACCCCACAGAAAGTGTCATTAAATCACTGTTTTCCAGAGTGAGGAGGAGCATTACAATGAGTCCCACCTCCGGACCACCTGGGTGGCTCAGTCGGTGAAGTGTCTATCTTCAATTCAGATCATGGTTCCAGGGTCCTGGGATTGAGTCCTGAGTCTGGCTCCCTGCTCAGCAGGAAGCCTGCTTCTCCCTCTGCCTGCCCCTCCCCCTACTCATGTGCGTGCGCACGCACACACACGCTAACAAAGAAATAAAATCTTAAAAAAAAAAGTCCCATGTCCTAAATTTACAAAAAATGGCACTGTGACTAAGACCCCAGGCCTAGAGTAAGTGAATGGCAGAATGAGAAACAGAAGTCTCCGGACCTCTAAGCCTCCAGGCTAGCTCTCTTTCCATATGATCATTCTATCATTTTTTTTTTTTAAAAGGTAGAGTCAGTAAAAGGAAACACACCGGTATGCTAACGAATCTTTCTGGGAAGTGGGACTATAGGTGATGCCATATCTGAAGCAATTTCTGGGCCACTCTTTTCTTCTTTTCTTTTCTAACTTCCTGGGTCTTAGTTTCTACAGCTGTTAAATAGGGATAACCTGCCATCCCTGTCCCCTCACACTGTGTAAACTGCAATGAGAAAATCGGGGAAAAGGATGTTTGAACTCCTTGGAAGGATCACATACTCTAACATTTTATGATATAACGGTATTTATATAGGAGGCACAACCAAACTAAGGTCATCTTTGGCTGAAAAGGATAAAGCTAATAGGTCAGCAAGGACAGAAAGATTGGTCAGGTCTTCAATAGGGAAGAGCCAACCAAGATGGGGCTACAATCGCGTGTCTGGCCCCACTTGTCCTGGCCTGGGGGTTGACGTGGGTTTTCAAGGGACAGCATCAAGTTTCGCACCTCAGTAACCGAACAGGGTCGGTGATGTTCTCCAGATTCTGCACTGCTTCATCTCGAACGGGAGCACACAGCAGAGTCATCATGTCGAGAATGTACTTAGAGAGAAGAGAGACGTTCAAGGCCCCGTGTTCTGCTTTCCGCTTGAGGAGCTCTGTGTCCAGTGCTTCTTCGATCTCTCCTCGCAGGCGGCTCTGGCGCGGTAACAGCAGTGACAACAGGATCTGCCCAGGAGAGAACATCAAAGGCAGTTGCTTTCTGTGTGGAGCCCCAATCCTTCTCTAATGCACAACCCTTTGGCCAAAGACTGTCTTTTAGGGCCAAGAAGTGGGTCCCTAAATTTTCCAGAAAATATGATTTATCTGTATTGAGAGGCCGATGAGAGTTCGAGGTTTTAGGGGATTAATACAGCCATGGCGCATCCTTTTCTAGGCAGAAGGAGATAAGGAGACAAGTAACATCAAGGAGTGTGGATAAAAGATATGCAAAGTACAACAAATATAAAATACATACGTCACACGGTGATGAGATACTTTAAATTTTAAAGAGTGGAATTTGAGAACGCAAGGGAGCGCGTGCATGATGGAGGGAGGGGCAGAGAGAGAGAAAGACTCTCAAATAGCCTTCACACTGAGCGTGGAGCCCAATGTAGGGCTCAATATCATGACCCTGAGATCACAACCTGAGCCAAAACCAAGAGTCAGACACTTAACTGAGCCCCCCAGGCACCCCAATGCAGGCATTTTTTTTAGATGATTTTACTTCAGAGGGCAAGGAAGAAATAGGCCAAGGAACAGTTAAGAGGTACTGGAAATAGCCTATTAACCCCAAATGTAAGTTCTCTGTGGAGACAGACTCTCTTATTCATCTCTGTGTCTCCGTAACATACAGAACATGTATGTGTGTGTGTGGGGGGGTGTTCGATGACTAATGTGTTGTCACAGCAAGATCCCCGGCTCTTCAGCTTCTCTGCGCTCTATTTAAAAAGGCAAACTATACCTGGTCTGGGCTGGAGGCTCTCAGCGCCCACTCTGCCCTTCAGGACCTACGCCCCGTGAGAACGGAGCCAAGCCCTCCAGCTGCTTTTCCTCCGCGGCTGGGCACACGTTAAGCTTCGTTAGCAGAAGGGGTGCGAGAGAATCCCTAGGCCTTACAGGGAAGAGGCCCTCCGCCTGGCTGGGGGAGCGCCGGCACCATGTCACTTGGCTCCAGTGACCAAGGGCTCCCGCTCCTGAGCGGCCCTGACAGGAAATCCGCGCCCCCGGCAGTGGTCTGACAAAAGGCCGCGGCCCGCTGGACCTCACGAGGAGCTGCATGAGTCCTTTAGAAGCCTTAGGATAGTGTGCAACTACAGGCTGGCAGACAATCCCCACAGGGTATCCGTGGCCTGTCACCTCAGTGAAGGCGCAAGGCCTCGGTGGTCCGCACCTTGTCAAGCCAGTGCCTCCGTGGAGAAGACGGCTGGCTGAGCTGCCAACCACCCGCCGCAGAGGGAGACCCACACCGCTCACAGGCCTTCCTGGATTGCTGAGGCAGCACACACTGCATCCAAGTTTGGGCCGGCCCCGCTCATTATTTAGAGTCCCTCATGAGGTTTCCGGTCTCAAGTGGGAAGCCCGGCAAGACCAGGCCCTGCAGCCAATCCAGGCTGCACACAAGCTGCGACGCCATCTGGGCTGTGTGATCCAGCAGGTTCAGTGACACTTAGCGTGTACACGGCAAGTAAGGGCGCCCCGACATGGGCCTCTGGCAGGCGCCGAAGAGAGCACCATAGCAAGACCTCTAGGATTTAGGGCAAATATATGTTCTCTCCCGCAAACCACTATTTGCCTTTTGAGAATTAGTTTCTGGCTTGCTCCTGGACTTCTGCAGAAGTAAACACCTTACCGGAGGACATAGGGTGGCCGTGTGACCCGAGCTTCCCGTGAGGAACTATGCGCTGTCAGGCCCACCTAACCATGAGATGAGGACTGCCCCACAGCCATCTGGGGCCAGATGAAAGGGTCCAGAGACCAAACACATACAGAGATAGGACAGACCTACAGAACAGACTAGAATAGAGAGCCCAGAAATAAAACCTGGAGATGTGGTCAAATAACATTTGAAAACAATGTCAAGACCATTCAATGAAAAAAGGACAGTTTCTCCAACACATGGTGCCGAGAAAACTGGGTATCCACAAGTAAAAGAATGAAGTCGGTGGGCACCTGGGTGGGTCAGTTGAGCATCTGAGTCAGTTCATGATCTCAGGGTCATGAGATTGAGCCCCGTGTTAGGCTCTGCACTGAGTGCAGAGTCTGCTTGACTCACTCGGCATGAGGTAAAAGGAGAGGGAGAAAACAAGCTTCTCACAGAGTGGAAGTTCCTCCGGCTCAGGTTATGATCTCAGGGCCCTGGGATCCACATTGGACTCCTTGCTCAGCAGGGAGTCTGCTTCTCCCTCTTCCCCCATGCTCATGCTTTTTCTCTCTCCCCATTAAATAAAATCTTAAAACAAAATAAACAAAATCCCTCTCTTTCTCCCTGTCTCTCCCCCACTCTCTAAAATAAATAAATCTTTAAAAAAGTAAAGTTGGACCCTTACTTTATACCTTATAAAAAATTTAACTTGGGGCACCTAAGTGGCTCAGTTAGTTAAGTGTCTGCCTTCAGCTCAGGTCATGATCTCAGGTTCCTGGGATCAAGCCCCACATCAGGCTCCCTGCTCAGCAGAGTCTACTTGTCCCTCTCTCCTATACCCTCCACTCGTGCTCTCTCACTCTTTCTCAGATAAAGAAAATCTCTAAAAAAAAATTAACTTGGGGCATCTGGGTGGCTCAGTCGGTTGAGTGTCAGCCTCTGGCTCAGGTCATGATCCCAAGGTCCCTCTCCCTCTACTTCTCCCCTCACTCAGGTTCCCCACTATATGGGAAACCTGTTTCTCCCTCTCCCGCCTCTCCCCCTGCTTGTGCACTCTGTCAAATATATGAATAAAATCTTTAAAAAAATTAACTCAAAATGGATCAAAGACCTAAACAGAAGAGCTAAAATTCTAGAACTCATAGAAAAAAATAAGGGGATAAATCTTCATAATCCTGGATTTGGCAAGACAGGACACCAAAGGCAAAAGGAACAGGCTAGATCAACTGGACTTCATCAAGAGAGAAACTTTTGTGTACAGGACACTATCAAGAAGGTGAAGGGACTACTCACGGAATGGGAGAATATATTTGCAAATCATCTAACAAGGGGCTACTATCCAAAATACATAAAGAACTCTTACAACTTAATAACAGAAGACAACCCCATTTGGAAATGGACAAAGGACTCCCGCCGACCTCTCTCCAAAGACAACACAAAATATTGGCAATAAGCACAGGGAAAAGGGCTCAGCACTGCTAGCCATCAGGGCTGCACAGATCCAAAGCACAGCAAGATTCCATTCCACGCCCACTAAGGTGGCTATAATGACAAACAAAAAGCAGCATCGGGAAAATGTGGAAAAGCTGGAACCTCATACCTTGCTGGCAGGAATGTACAGTGGTGCAGCCACTGTGGAAAACAGCTCAGTGGCTTCTCAAATTCAGCAGTGCCACCCCTGGGCATATGCTCCAAAGAGCAGAAAACAGGTGTTCAAACAAAATCTTTGTATAGGAAGGTTCACAGCAGTACTACTTGCAGTAGCCAAAATGTGAAAACAGCACAAATGCCCATCAACAGACAAGCGGATAAATAAAATGCAATATACCCACCCAATATATCCATACAGTAGGATTTTATTGGGCCCTGAAAAAGGAATGAAATTCTGACCCCTGTTTACAACACAGATTGAGCCTGAAAACATTATGCTAAGGTGAAATTTGCCACATACAAAAGGGCAAATATATGATTCTCCTTATTTGAGTTGCCTAGGGTAGCTAAACACACAGAGATAAAAGGTATAACAGAGAAAACTGGAGGAGGAAGGGAAATGAAGAGTTACCATTAACGGGTACGGTTTCGGCTTGGGAAGATAAGAACATTCTGGAAATGGATAGTGTGATGGTCACACAATATTGTGAATGTACTTAAATGCCACCGAATTTTAACACTTAGAAATAATTAAAATGGTGGGGTGCCTGGCTGGTTCAGTTGGTTGAGCAGGTAACTCTGGATCTCAGGGTTGTGAGTTCAAGCCCTACGTTGGGCATGGAGCCTACTTTAAAAAGAAAATAATTAACGTGGTAAAAATTTTGTTATGTATGTTTACAATTTTATAAAAATCCTAAAAGATATTAACAACTAAGCCGCTAATACGGCGCCATTCCCCAGAGAGGATGAGCCGGCCACCTGGCAGCAGGCGATCTCTTTAAACTGCTTCCGCTGTGCAGGGGGCAGACTTGCCGTCACTGGAACAGACACGTATTCTGGATACGGATTGGTCTTCTCTGTCTGCAGTGCTTCCAATCAGCCACAACATCTGTCCTTGCAGAATGCCTTACTCATCATCCCGGCCCTGGCATGTTGCATACCATTGCATCTGATCACGGAGCATTTCAGAGCAAAGGAGTGCAGTGCAGCAACGGGTTCATACCTGTGTACCCCTAAATCAACAGACCTTAACTGAAAAGTGGAATAGTCTACTGAAGACTCGATTACATGAGTTGAGGGACACTATCCTGAAGGGAAGATGTTGCACCTTTAAGATGCAATATATTCTTTGAATCAAAGACCATTATATTGTGCTGTTTCCCAAAGCTGGAAAACATAGTCCTGGGAATCAAGGGGTGGAAGCAGGACTGGTTCCTTTTACTTTTACACCTACTAACCTACCTGCAGAATACTTATTGCCCATCCTGCCTACTTTGGGCTCTGCCGATTTGGGAGGTACGTTTGCAATGGTCCCTGTGAATGAGAAGAGGACACCGTACCTGGTCATTTTGGGCTCCTTTTACCACTGTACCAAGAGTATGAAAAAGGAGTTATTCTAGTGGCTAGAGTAAATGATCCTGAGGTTCCCCCTTGGTACTTGCACACCCGGTGATAAAGGTTACTGGAAAACCACAGCAAGCAAACAGCAGCAGCAAAATGCTGAAGGACTCAAGACACTTTGGCAGTGAAGGTTTGGGTCACTTCGTTATGTAAAGAAACCCATCAGCTGAGGCTGTTTGGGCTGAGGACGAGGGAAATAAGGAGTGAACCATAGAAGGAAGCCATGCAGGTCCACCATAGCCATGTGACTAAGTACAGAAGCAAAGACTCTATGTTTTCTCTTTGCCTGGCACAGGCACGGGTTTATTTGTCTATGCTGACCTATTTCTTCTTCTCTCCTCTTCCCACTATCATTTTACAGATTGGTTGCTGGCAGTTAACTTTACAATTAGGCTTTAAGTAACAGAATATTCAGTGGTACCGTGACTGAATTTGATAGCAGCTAGCACAGTAGCTGCTGGAGCTGTGAGTCTCCTTGTTTTATGGAAAGAATAAGAACCTGTAAGACAACTCTATCTGAGCAGGTAGAAATAGAGATCTTTTCAGAAACTGAAATGTGTGTAGATGGCTGCATCCAGAAGCTAAGCAGCCCAAGTAGGGGAATGTGACAGTTACCAATTTACTGTCTCTCAGTTCCAAATCCATCATTCTCTTCTCTGCTGAGAACATGGAGTGGAGTCCTTTAGATATTCTTCCTTCAGCAGGTGGCACAATGGTTAAGCTTCATCTGTAGAGGGCACAATTCGTTTTCCGGGCTACATACCAAATTACCATAAACGTAGAGCCTTCCAACAGCACATACATTTCTTAGCTCACAATTTCTGTGGGGCAGGAGCCCAGCCGCAGTTTCACTGGGCCCTCTGCTCAGACTCCCACAAGGCTGCACTCAAGGTGTTGGCTGGGCTGCATTCTCATTTGGAGGCTTGACTGGGGAGGACTTGGCTACCAAGCTGATTCAGATCGCTGGCAGAATTCATTTCCTTACAGCTGTGGACTTGACAGATGGATGCTGCCCTCAGATCCTAGGGGCCAGCTGCATTTCCCTGCCCTAGGACCCTCTGCAGGGGCAGATCACTGCGCAGCTGTCTGCTTCTTGAAGGCCGGCAAGAGGGTTTCTCTAGTCTGCAGTGAAATGTATTTCTAGGTGCAACATCCCAGCACCCCGGCATACTGCTTAGAGGCAAGTTACAGACCTCGTCCACGCTCAAGGAGAGAGGATTATACAAGGGTTTGGATCACTGGGGGGGTCACTTTCAGGGGTACCCACCACATACTACAAAGATATCACAAGAGGCAAGAGCTTCTCTTCCTTGTTCTGAAATACTAACTTGGCATGAAGCAGTATGCTTGTGCAGCCTGGCCAGAAGCTGGATCTGGCAGAGCAAGGGGCTCTGGGTCTGATGTCGGGCTGCTCCCGCATGGGCAGCAGCTGCAGCCCCGGCCCCTGCATGCTAGTCAGCAGCACACACAGGCCAACAACCTCCCCGGCACAGCCATGCCCTCTCCGAATCCTTGCGTCTTCTCTCTGGGTCCTGGGGGTTTGGCATATTCTCCGTCTAGCTGATATTTTTGTCTACTTTAGAGTTTTCTTCACTACTTATTAGCTCAAAGCTGTTTCTTCAATTCCACGTTATAATTTTTATATTAAAACTTCCTTGTTGAAACTACTATGTGATTTCTATGGATTAGACTTTCACTGATTCGTGAACCATGTTCAGTTAGGATCTGTTAGCCACTGACATTCCAATGACTTTGGGGATGTCTAGGAAACTTACATCTACAGGTGGAAGATAGGTCACTCACCTCTTTAATTTCTTTCAGAAGTTCAAGAGCACAACTGAAGTCTGGGGGAGTAGCTGACAACTGCTCTTTAAGATGGTCCCAAAAGGCATTGTGCATTGTCTCCTTGACCTTGCCTTCCAAACTGTAAGAGGGTTGAATGAGCAAATTACTTTCTCTACCCAAAAACTGTTAGAAGGTCATTATCTCCTAAGGCCCAAACGAACAGCATTTAATATGACAAAAGACCATCATACTGACAGGAAAAGACCAGGAACTATGTTTGGACTGCAGCAAAGTTGAACAAGCTGGGCTCAGACTTGGATGTCAAGGGCATGACCAAAATCTCTTAGAAGGGCTCCTCATGATTTCAAGTAGCCCTCCCTCTGCAGGAGGAAGAATGCTCCAGGGAGATCAGGTCAGCTTTAGCACCAATTTGCATCTAGCCTAGGTAATATGACTTACTTGCCATTTATGCATACACATAGCCATGAACAAAAGGATCTTTTACTTTCTTATAGTCCTAAAATCTAGACAAGGATTTTCCTTCTTTGATAATACTCAAATATCCATAGGGATTTCCAAATCAGCAGGTCTAAAACTCAATTCAGGATCTTCCCCTTCCAAACCTGTTTCTCCTATATTCCCAATATCAGGGGCCCTACCAGGTAGCCAGTCATGGAGGCCAGAAAGATCAGACATTTCTTCTCCTTAAAAAAGAAAAACAGAATCAAAGGCAGAATCAAAGCCTGGGTGGCTCAGTTGGTTAAGCGACTGCCTTCAGCTCAGGTCATGATCCTGGAGTCCTGGGATCGAGTCCCGCATCAGGCTCCCAGCTCCATGGGGAGTCTGCTTCTCCCTCTGACCTTCTCCCCTCTCATGCTCTTTCTCACTTTCTCTCTCTCAAATGGATAAACAAAATCTTAAGGAAAAAAAAGAAAAACAGAATCAAAGGCAATTCAATTTAGAAAGGATAGTCTCTTCAGCGTGTGGGGCTGGAGAAACTGGACCTCTGCACTCAAAAAAGTTTATCTAGACACAGACTTATACCTTCCACAAACGGATCACAGACCTAAATGTAAGAAGTAGGTAACACAGAAGATAATGTAGGAGAAAACTAGCTGACCTTGAGTTTGGCAATGACCTTTTAGATACAACATCAAAAGCATGATGATCCATGAAAGAAAAAAACTGGTAAACTGGACTCCATTAAAATTAAAAACTTGTACTCTGTGACAGAGACACTGTTAAGAGATGAAAAGACAAAAAGCATAATCTCTGCAGAATATCTGATAAGGAACTAGAATCCATGGGGCACCTAGGTGGCTCAGTCAGTTGAGGGTCTACATTTGGCTCAGGTCAGGATCCTGGGGTCCTGGGAGGGAGCCCCCAGGTCAAGCTCCCTGCTCAGCAGCGAGTCTGCTTCTCCCTCTCCCGCTGCCACTCCTCCTGCTTGTGCTTGCACTTGCTCTAATAAATAAAATCTTAAAAAAAAAAAAAACCTAGTATCCAAACTATACAAAGAACTCTTAAAACTCAAAAAGAAGAGAATAACCCAACTTTAAAATGGGGAACGATCTGATGATACACATCACAAAAGTCATCATTCAGATGGCAAATAAGCCTATGAAAAGATGCTCAACATCCTGTCATTAGGGCACTGCAAATTAAACTAACAATGACATACCCATCAATATCTATGAGAGGGGCCCAATCCAAAATACCGACACCACCAAATGCAGGAGACGCTGTGGAGCAACTCTAAGAACTCACATGCATTGCTGGTGGGAATGCAAAATCGTAGCTGCCCCAGCTTCTTACAAAACTAAACAGACTCTTGTCATATGATCCATAGACTGTCCTTTGTATTAAGCAAATGAGTTGAACACTTGTGTCCACACAAAAACTTGCACAGGAAGGTTTATAGCAGCTTTATTCATAATTGCTGAAACTTGGAAGCAATCAAGATGACATTCTGTAGGTAAGGGGACAAATAAACTGTGGTACCTCTAGACAATGGGCTATTACTCGGCCTTAAAAAGAAATGAGCTATCAAACCCCAAAAGACATAAAAGAATCTTAAACGCATATTGCTAAATGAAGGGAGCCAATCTGAAAAGGCTACATATTGTATGAATCCAACTATAGGACATTCTGGAAACCAATGGAGACAGTAAAAAGATCCATGGTTGCCAAGGATTCATGGGGCAGGAAGAAAAGGGTGAACAAACAGAGCACAGGGGGACTTTTAGGGCAGTGATATCACTCTGTATGATACAAAAATGGTGAATATATGGCATTGTACATTTTTCAGAACCTATGGAATATACAAAAAATGAACCTCAATGGTACACTATGGACTGGAGTTAATAATAATGTATTAATACTAGATCATCAACTCTAATAAATGACCTCACTATTGGAAGATATAAACAATGGGGGAATCTGTGTCCTGCAGGGCATGGGCTCTGTGGGAACTCTGTACTTTCCAATCATTTTTTTCTGTAAAACAAAACTAGTTTTTTTTAAAAAAATGTGTATTAATTTTAAGAAAGGAAATGACAGGAATTAATTTTCCTCTCAAAGTTTATTTAAATGATGTCTCTAACCTGCAGTGAGACTCATAAGAGAAAAAGAACCATTCGAAAAGTTTGAGGTTAGACCTAGTCATTGCCAAGTAGCTACTGGTTTTCTTGAATTAAACATCCCCCCCTTAAAAAATACAGTAGTAACGTATGTGCCATGTAAAACAAACAAGCAAGCAAGCAATACGAAGATGAATAAAACAAAATGTCAAAGTTCCTCTCCCAACACACCAGCCTCAATCATCAGAGATAACGGATCAGAGGTTATCAGAGGTAACCAACTATAATCTGTCCAATGGTGTAAGGTGTACTAGAATTGTTCTCAACTCTTTCTCCTCATCCTATCTATCCAATCCATCTCCAAGTTCCACAAACGGTGCTTCTTAAATGCCTCTGGAATCCATCCCCACCTCCCATCATCTCTTACCTGGACTACTACTATAGTCCATTCACTGATCCCCTTGCCCTCAGTCTTGTCCCTTTCTTATTTGTTCTCCACAAATTCATTCTAAAATCAAGGACTTCTGAAATTCCATTCTGACCACGATGCCCTGCTCCTGTAAAGTCCTTTAGGGACTTTCCCTCACCAGCAACATAATTCACTTACAGGACCCTGCTCTGCTTCCTTTTCTAGTTTATCTCCTTCTATCTCATTTTATACAGCTGCCCACACCAAGGTACCTATAAAAAACATACCATATTCTTGCCTCTGTCATAGTTTCCTCTGCTGGGAACATTCTTTCCCACCTAGACCATCTGGGCAACATCTATTCCTCCTCTAAGACTTGACTCAAGGTTTCATAAGCAACTCAAGTCTTCCTCCACAGGCAGATCTTCTCTGACCCTCCTTGAGCAACTGAGCATTCTCATGAAACTCTTTACAAACAACTACGAGTGAACTGATGGGTCTCTGCTATTCAACTGTCCCCTACAAAACTTCTGACAGCGACGACAGTGCCTTGGTCATCTACAGCTACATCTCTAACTATCCCCAGCACTCAGCATCTGCCTGCCGCATAAGGACTCAGTATACACCTGATCATTGAATGCCCAAACACGGGATTTCCCTTCGGAGTACACAATCATCATTAACAGCATCCTACGCACAAAGGAGAGGCAACTGCCAAAAATGAGTCAGGTCAAACGCTGTTTTCAACCTTTCTCCTGATAAAATGCTGCATGACCTTACATGAAAATCCAGCTCTGACTGGTACTATTTCTCCTGCTTCCTTTCTCCCTCTCTTCTCTCTCTTCTACCTATTCCTCCAATTCCCTCGTTACTGTCCCTTTAGCAGACCTTCACTCTTCCAGTTTCAATTGTTTCTCCTCTCCTGTTGCCATCAAACGCATCTAAGCAGTGAGGGAGGTGTTAGGAGATGTGGGTTTTCATGAAAATCTGGTCACACAGAAGCTGTGGCACCAGGCATGGGCACATCAGAGCACGAAGAGGGCAGGAACTCCATGCCATAAACAATGGCACTTGAGTAACAGATTCCCTGAGGCTGCCAGATCACAAAAGCGTTTAAGGAAACTGGCTGATCACAAGCTGTCCTCATTGATCTATTGGTGGGAAATTAGAAGTTTTTTGAAATCTGACATTGAATTTACCGATTTAACTGCCAATAAACCAGCAGAGCCATTCAATTCATACTCCCCAAATGGTGCTCCCTTGTTACAATGTCAATATAACTAAGAATCAAAGTGAAGCTTGATGGAGGTGGGAGAGCATTATTTATGAACAGAGTTCTGATCCTGATTCATAAGTTAAACTGACTTATGGGGGCGCCTGGGTGACTCAGTCGGTTAAGGATCTGCCTTCGGCTCAGCTACTAAGTTCCAGGGTCCTGGGGTAGAGCCCCACATTGGGCTCCCTGCTCAGCAAGGAGTCTGCTTCTCCTTCTCCCTCTGCCTTTCCCCACTGCTTGTGCTCTCTCACTCACTCATTCTCTCTCAAATAAATAAAATCTTAAAAAAAAAATTCATATTTTATCTGTGCCTATTTCATCTGTGGCCACTTAAAAGAGTAATTGGAAGGAGCTATGAAGCAGGCAACTGATCAGATGACCCCAAAGATCTAGGATTCCTGATATTCACACTGGGGTAACCTCATCTCCAGGAGTGTGGGCATGGTTTAGGGTCTACCTTCCAGCAAGCATAATGTAGCTGAGGTACTGGGATGTCATTTCTGAGATGAGGTAACAGAAGGACTGCGGGTTCTGTCTTGGGCACCATCTCTCACACCTTTCTTTTCTCACTCACTCTGAGAGAGGGAAGCCAGCTGCTATGTGGCTCAGAGCTAAGGGAGGCTCTGATTAGCACTCAACACACTAACTACAACTAGGGCCAGAGACACACAAGTCAACTGTGCCCGTATCTCTGACCCAGAGAAACTGTGAGATAATGAACATTGTTTCAGCTACTAAGTTCCCAGATAACTTGATGGCAACAAGAGCTAGCTACCACAGGCTACTTCTTCCACATTTATCAGAGAAGTTGTGAAATTCACCCTACTGATATTTTATTATTAACGATGGTGGGGGGGTGGGGGGGATCACAAAGTGAACATTCCAATAATTACTACTTTGGCTTATTTACTAGTTAAATAACATTTGCTTCCTGACGTTCTAATACTAATAATTATTACCCTTCTATTTAAGTTGTTGAGCCCTCTCTTAAGGTTTATATTCAAAAACTGTATCCCCGCCCCCCCAGTTTTACTGACTCAATTGGATTATTAAATAAAGATGCTTTGGGGCGCCTGGGTGGCTCAGTGGGTTGAAGCCTCTGTCTTCGGCTTGGGTCATGGTCCCGGGGTCCTGGGATTGAGCCCCACGTCGGGCTCTCTGCTTGGCGGGGAGCCTGCTTCCTCCTCTCTCTCCGCCTGCCTCTCTACCTACTTGTGATCTCTGTCAAATAAATAAATAAAATCTTAAAAAAAAAAAAATGCTTCAAGTCTGGTCAGAAGCCATTAGTGCTAAATAGCTATGCCAGAATGAATAAAATGGAAAAATCAGAAGAGCTGGTACCTGCTTGGAGAGGAAACCTTTTCTTCCACGTGGAAATCATGATTCATTCCAATCTTGTTGCTCGGCTTAGAAACATCATCAACTGTACCTATCAAACCTGTGACAGAAAGAACCTCAGGTATACACCTGAAACTAATGTTAACAACAACTATATTTCCATTTCAAAAAAAAAAAAAAAAAAAAAGAACTTATGGCGGACACAAGTCATTCTGAATTTCTATGTTCTTCATAGACTCATGGTGAGTAGGCCCCAAATTGAGATTCATCAAATTGATCTCACACCAACTCATTTGACCGTTCTAGTAGTTTAGGTTTTCTGAACTCTGGGTCCAGTGCCTAGTGTAGTCCAGCATGGGGGTGAGGGAGGACAAAGAAGCTATTTTATAAATAACAAAAATGAAATACAAGCCTTTCTCTTGAAAAGTAAAATAATAATTAAAGCAAAGAAACAATAATTTGTGATTTGCAAACATAAGCATTTATCTAAGGGTATTCTGATTCTGCTCTCCTTTTCCTGACTCTGACGAAAGTTAAATTCTCCATATTGATGGTACTGAATGGCACCAGTGTCACCTGGTCTCAAAAAGCAGGAGTTCCCAGGTGTTAGGATTTTGTAGGTTACTGACATTTCCAAAGATTCTGAGCAACTGATGACGACCTGCTCACGTTCTGTTTTGCCAAGTGTGAACCGCAGATAAGCAAATAAAAAAAATCCACTCTATCACCACCAAAACATCATTTCATAAAAGAACAGCTTAACCTTCAAAAAAAAAAACAAAACCAAAAACTCCACCCCTTCCTCCCCCCTCAAAAACAGCAAGTTATCAGAATAAAGAGGAGTCCTTTACATTGAATCGATTTAGCTTTAGGAAACACTCATTACATCTTTATTTTCTTTCACTAAATATTGTGAAGAATTCTGTCATAAACCAGCACTAACATTTGGGACCCAATGCTCTAAGTTCTTACTACAGACCCAGCTGAGCTCATTCTCACGAAACAGGCACAATAGTTTTAATGATCACTTGGTATGTGGAACGAAGTTGCACATAGTACATATTTTCTCATTCTCTTTCAATAGCCCTTCATAATTCAACAAGAAAAATATCTGGTTCTGAGATATGGAGGGGATATAAATGAATGAAGATCGGCCATGAGTTGGTCACTGTTGAAGCTGGGTAATGAGTAAATGTGGCTCATTGTACTAGTCTCTCTACTTTTATAAACGTTTAAGTTGTCCATAAGTAAGATTTCAAAATGTAAAAAGGAAAGGAAAAATAGTTATTGTAGAAAAGAGGCTACACAGAATGCCTTTACTTAGGAGATACATGATGAAGTTTTTAGAAGTCATGACCCTAACTTTCAGTATAAAAGGACAAAAATACATATTTATAGAGAGAGAGCAATATGGCAGAATTAATGTGGGCATTCACTTTTTTTTTAGTTTTCAACAAAGTTGAACTATTTTGAAATTAAAAATTAAAATAAAATAAAATAAAAATCTATAGGTAAAAGGTGATTGCAAATTTACCAAAAGCCACTGAGCCCTTGCTTTGGTAAACATAAAGATGAATTGAACCTTAAGTGGACAGCTGATGTTCCCTTTATTTTTGCAGCCTCTCCGAAGCCTTTGGTTTCAGCCAAAATGGCAAAACACAGTCAAACATGTAAACAGACAATCCATTAACTCACTAATGCGAAATGAGAAATAAAATCTTCCAAGGGAAACTGAGTTATAGCAGCTTACTGAAGGACAGAGGGAAAGATTACCCACAGAAACACTTTCCAAATACAAGAAGTCGAAGTTCAGATCCTACTTTGACAAGACTGTTCTGGTGCTCACAAGTACCATGGTACTAGATAACTCCCAACAGCTGTAAAAATCAAGAAAGGGGAGGGCCCAAAGAGAAATTCGAGGGAAAAGGCAACTAAAGTAGATTTTTAAAATCCAAATCCCAAGGACAAAGAAATTTTCAACATGATACAGTAACTGAACCAAGACAGCCTAATCTACAACATGTCAAATTCTTTTTTTTCTTTTAAGAGGCAATTTGGTTACTCACTTTAGGGATGTTTTACCTACGGATTCATCTAAATAGCCTCTCGAAGAATTAAATTGTTTACACCGTATTTACAGAAAATTGGCTTTCAAGCCCACATCAGGTTCATTCTATCTAAATAAATTTCTATGCACCAATTTGCCACTTTGGGGCCATTCTGTTAGCCGGCAACGACCCCATGTGGCCACAAGAGAAAAGTGCAATTCAACCTCAGAGTAGCCGGGCCTTGGAACTAATTTTTCACACTTTAATCTTCGAGTTTAACTCGAGTTAAACTCTTGCACGTGAACAGGTCTTCAGACTGGTGCCTGTTTTAAATTCTGTAGAGATTACTAGAAGAGAAATGCTGGATGAGTCCCAGCGAAGTTCGACCTACGAAAGCATAGGAGAGACCTGCGACGCAACAGGAACATAAAAGTACGGAGCTTGAGAACAGAAGCCCAGACCAGCCGTACTTCTTAAGTCCATGAAGCGCCAAGTGATTCCCACCGAGGGCCACTTGGGTTCTCCGAGAGTAAGTATACCAAGTGTCCGCCATTTTCCACCTACAAATTCAAACTACAACAATTAAGGCGGTGAAGGCGCTTGGTCTCAAATCTTGTCAGATTAAAAAAAAAATGTCTTTTGTCAGATTCAAGTAATCCGGCCCAAGTCCTTTCTCCCTCCTGGACCAACCTTCGGGTGCACAAGGGGGCCTAGGGCCTGGGGGAGCAGGGACTGGGGCGGGGGAAGACCAGGCGAAGGGCAAACCGAGAGGCCGGCAGGCCCTTCCTCTTCCGCCCTGCCCCGGGCTGGGCGCCCCCGAGCGGCGACGGGACCTACGGGCGGGGTGGTCCTCGGGGCCTCTCCGGTCTTCCCGGGTCGGTGCTGAGGTCTCGGGCTTGCAGGACCGGCACTGTGCGTCGCCTGGGTCCTTCAGGGGCATTTTCTCCTCGACGTCCGGCATGTTGCAGATGGAATCTGGGTTGGGGAGAAATGACGCGCTGTTGGCGTCGGGGAAAGGGTGTCTCCCACCGTCGCCGGGGGTCCGGAGCCCGGCCCGGCGCGCCGGGCTCGACCAGACCAACAAGCGCAGGGTGGGCAGCGTCAGGGCGGGGGACAGGCGGGACAAGGGAGCCTGGAGGGCCGAGGGGTTCCTGGAGTCAGGCTCTGGGCGCTCAAACAGGAGGCGGTCCGGCCCGGGCGGCGCTGGGGGCAGCCCCCTCGCTCAGGACGCTCGCCTCGCGCCCTCTCCAGCAGCAGAGCGAGCCCTCGGCGCCTCAGCCCCGCGCCGCTCACCTCCTCCCCGGCGACTTGCCGCCTGCTCTGGGGTTCCCGCCACAGCCGCGCAGCCTCGAGGCGCGGGCCGTACCAACGGTGGCGGGGGGGGGCAGCGGGCGGCCGGGAGGGCCCTGGCGGCGGCGCGGAGCCGGCCGGGTCGACCCCGCGCGCACCACGGCTCGCCCCGCGGGATACGCCGGGTGGGAGAGTCGGGGCTTTGAGAACAAAGCGCCGGCCATCTCCCGGGGCAACGGGTGGGGTCACGTGGCCACCCGGCAGTCTCCCCCGCCCCCACCCCGCCGCCTGTCGCGCGGCTGGGACCCAGGCGGGCCGGCTGGTGCTGGGTCGTCGTGGGCTCGAAGCCCCTCCGACCTCGGGTTACGTGGTCGCTGGGGGCGGTCTCCGCCTGGCATCCACCCCCACGAAAAAGATCACCTGGAGCTACTTAGGGAGGGAGGGAACAGGGTGATTTGTTTCTCTTTAGCCTGCTCCTGTAGCCCGAGGAACAGAACCTCACCGAGGCAGGTGGTTTCTTGTTAGAGCCCCCGAGGCACCTGAAGAGAGCGGGGCCATGCTAACATTTCTGCAGGTGTGGAAATCAAGACCCCCTGCCACCTGCGGGTCCGTGGAGGCGTGCGGGCGGGGCAGCAGCAGAGGCTCTTCCACTGAATTCCCGGCCTGGGGTCTTCTTGGGCTGGACCTACTACCCCTGGTTCCGGCTCTCGGGCTTGTCTTGGTTTCGGGTCTGCCCTCTTGCCCCTGGAGCGATGTGAGGACCTGGAGTGACCACTCTCCCCTTCAAAACCTGCATTTTGGGGGCTGGAAATGAAAAGCATCCACTGCTTACATTCCTATCCCTCTTTATTAACTAACTTGATCTCTTACGACAAACGCTTGCTCAGAAAAAGGAAAATGAAACGTAAGATGAAAGTATTGCCTGTAAGAAATCAAGTTATTATAACCCTTGCCTTGTTAGTGTGGGATGTGGATTCTTCTTGCACAACTCATGCGTTTTGAAAGGGAAGATTACGAAGAGGCATAAGAACACTTCCTGCCTTCTTCCCTTAACCCTTCCCGCCTCCCTTCCTTCCTCCCTCCCTCAATATGCCTAACATGAAGCTTGAACTACTGCCCCAGATATGGAGTGTTGTGTGTGAGATGTGTGCTCTACCTACTGAGCAAGCTGGGGGCCCCTGAACACATTTCTGCTAAGAAAGTCTACTCTAGGGGTTCCTGAGCGGCTCAGGAACTGCCTTCCCCTGGGTCATCATTTCGGTGTCCTGGGATCGGTCCTGCATGGGTTTCCCTCTTTCTCCCTCTGCTTCTCCCTCTCCCAGTGCTGCTCGCTCTCCCTGTGCTGCTTCTGTTTCTCTCGCGAGCTCTCTGTCAAATTAAATTTTTTTTAAAAAGTCCACTCTAGGGGAGACTTGGAGGCTCAGTTGGTTAAGTGTCAGGCTTCAGTTAAGGTCATGATCCCAGGGTTCTGGAATTGAGTATCACGTCTGGCATCTTGCTCAGCAGTCAGCCTGGTTCTCCCTCTGCCTGCCACTCCCCCTGCTTGTGCTTGCTCCCTTTCTCTCTCTCTCCAACAAATAAATAAATCTTAGGGGAAAAAAAAAAGTCTACCCTGAGGTCAAGGCAGATATGAGGAGAACAGCCTAGTAAAGTTACTGTTTAGCTGAAGCGTTCTTAATCCAGTACATATTCAACCTGCCCATTACCCCTCCTAACCTTTCCTGGTATTTCCCTCAGAGATGTTAACTGTGCAGGCTGGCCTTCACCCCAAACTGAGAAGGAAGAGTAATTTACGACTTCAGCAAAGAGGTCCATGAAAATGTAATTATTCATTATTACATGAGAGATTTTTAGGCTGGGTCTCAAAACAAACAAACAACCCCAGAGTTCTGTTTGGGTGGAATTTTCCAGAATGACACCAGTTCATTTGCCCATGAAAATGGCATTGCCATAAAACTTCCCCTGCTGATGCCTGAAATTACCTCCAGCAGTTCATTCATATACGTTACACAGTCTCTGTAAGTGTCCTCTTAATACCCAAATTCTCTGAAAGAGGCAGTGGGAAGAAATAGCAGGTGGGAGCTTGTGCGGGTGGGGACTGAAGCCAGAAAAGGAGTAAAGGATGGGGGTGGAAGAGAAAGACGGAATTGGAGTTTTCCCAGGGTCAGCCTGGGGACAGCATTTCATGATCTTTATCACTAATAGTTATCAGAACCAACTAGCCAAAGTTAAAAGTTGAGGGGAATAGAAAGATGATTCAAGAGATATGCCCTCCTTCCCTTTGGGGTCTTAGTTAATGATAACCAATTTTAGTTTAATGATTTACAAAATGTTTTACATTGCAAATCCATATGCTCTGCACACAATCCTACCTGTTCAGTAGGCCAGGCAGGTGTTATTTTGCTTCATTTAATAGATGAGCGAACTGTGAATTAGAGAGGCTTCTGGGAGTACCAAAAGGCAGTTGGCAAGCAAGGACTTGATGCTCAATCCTATACTTTTTCTTAATTCACCCAATCTCTCTGTCTTCTAGCTGAGAAGCTGTGTAAACAAGAAAATATAACTGACATAAAATGGTATGGTAAGTGCAAGAGCTGCGGGTACAAACGAGAAGAAATACAAGAGGTCAGAGAAAGGATGAGAGATCTTCCAGATGTTTGGATCAGTTCAAACCCAGCCTTTAGCCAGGATCCTAAACAAGACTGTGTAACCGATTTGTGTTTGGAAGGGAATCCTTTGTTCAGCCTGGTTCCCTCTCAACCTCAGGACCCTCTTTAAACTCTCCTAATGGGTGAAATTGGATTTTCCACACATGTCCATTATTTATCAGGAATGCCCTTCCTGAGTTAACAACTTTACCCTGTGAAAGTGTACATATCTCAAAAGACCCACAAGACAAGTGTTTCTCAAGCAACCCAAGGACGGAAGTAAAAGCCCCATTTCCTCTCATGTTGCAGTGTGCCCCAAGCTGTACAGCCCTGGGTTCTTCTTTTACATTAAAATATCATCTGAATTTTGGGGTGCTGGGTGGCTCGGTTGAGTGTCCACTTTGGGCTCAGGTCATGGTCCTGGGGTCCTGGGATGGAGCCCTGCATCCTGGCTCCCTGCTCAGCAGGAAGTCTGCTTCTCTCTCTCCCTCTGTCCTCCACCCCCCACTCCTCTCTCTCACTCTATATCTCAAATAAATAAAATTTTAAAAAATCATATCACTTTTATCTTCTATTCACAACATATCCATATTTGCCTCAATACTAAAGTCAATTTTCTATCCTCAAATCTTTGAGTAGAATTCTTGTTCCAGAAAGAAGGTTTTCCTATACTCACTGGTACACCTCTATGGGTTCATACACCCCAGACTGAGAAGCAGTCCAAGGGAATCTCAGGCCTGCAGCTAGAATGTTCCTGCTCAACCACTTCCCCACACATGCGAGCTTTAACCCAAGCCCAACAGTATGCTCTGTTTTCATTTGCTAAATACTACCCTGGGTACGCTACCATACAAAAACAATTATGCAAAGGGTTGTTCCTACCCACAAAGGCATTCTGAAAGAGGGGTTGATAAAGACAAAAATGTAAGAGAAATACTCCTGGATGACTGTAAGAAGTACAGAATCTAAGAGGAATCCTGATTATGGATCTGCTAACTTTATAAAACAAAATAACGGAAATGAAAAACATCTCATTTTACAAATCATCTTAGGCTCATGAGGTTAAATGACTTGGCTAAGGTCACCACCAGTTTATGGAAAAATGTAGGACTAGAACCCATATCACAGTCGGTGTACTCTATAATATATAGGGCTAAGCTAGAGTAAAAACTAATACTGTAAATAAATATTTGTATTTCTAAAGAAAAATGTAAATGACAGGCCATGGAATGGAAAAAGTAAGAGACGGAATTACACAGAGGCCAAGCTTGCAAGTTCAGTAGACTATACTGGAAGATAAACAGTCAGAGTGGTAGGGACACGTAAATACAGGGTGGGATATTTAAATGAAACCATTTGGAGTCATGTAAACTGGGACTGACTTCATTATAGCCTCCCTTATGGTACAGAACTGCACGTCAAAACTATTTGCTTTAGTCTTTTGATAAATGTGTTTTCTTCATAGAACCAAAGAGGAGTAGGAGAAAGGTTTCGGTAATCTGGGGGCAGTCTGGACATAGCCCTTTGAAGCTCAAAGTGAAGTGTTATGGATGGAGAAACCTTTACAAGTCTTTTAAGGAAAGGGGGCTCAAAGAGAGGACAAAGAAGATTCTGGCAGCCGCTTAAACATCCAGCTTGGTTAGCCACATCTCACTCTACCAGCAATACCTAAGAGGTCCTTGTTTCTCCCTCCCCCAGGGTCTTTGCACATGCTGTCCCTTCCCTCTGGGATCCTTCCCCTTCCTCTAGACCCCTCCTACCTCACTGACTCCCTCTCATTCTTCAAGTCCAGCTTGCAAGGTCTAACGTCCTCAGGGAAACATCTATGAACCTCATTCGCTTCTCTCAGCACCCCCTATGTTGTCTTCGTAGCCTTCACCATAGTTTGTAATTATATGCTTGTTGGCATAATTAACTTTATTCAGTGTGGAACTCTACTGCCAGACTGTAGGCTCCCTGAGAGCAGGCACGGTCTGCATTTCATTTACCACTATACCTGGAACATAGTGGATGGGCAGTCCCTAAGGGTAGCCTGAGCAAATGGGCACAAACTGGCGCGCAGCTGCATGGAGGACCCGTAAGAATGAGCTACTGCTCCCCCCACACACTGGAGAGGCCCAGCAAACTGTGTCTCTCTGGACCCAGTGTCAGTTACCAGCGCCTCCTGTCTTTCTCTTTTTGTCTCAGACACGTTTCCCCTCTTTCCATCTCTCCTCTGTCCTGGGAGTCTTTTAAACCCTCAAAGACGATGTCTGAGAGAAAAGGAAGGGTGTTCAGGGTCCTGTGACAGGGAGCTTTCCCCCCACCCTGAACCGGAAGGTGGCGGTAGGGGGCAGTGGCACCCTGGGAGTAACTTCCAGAAGTAGGCTGCCAGTGAGAGAGCCTTTCTCTCTCTCTCTCTCTCTTTCTGCAGAGCAAGCCAGGGTCAGCAGCAGCCCAAAGCCACAAAAACTGACTTTAAAAGTCCTCCTAAGAGCCGCGTCTTTCGACTCCCCAAAACAATCCTGCCTTGTGCCCCAGGACACGGCGCGAGTTACACACTTAAAGCAGTTTCCACAGAACCGCATTCAGTTGGTTTTAAACTCTGGGGAAAGCTGGCAGCCTCTTTGTGGGTTTTTTAAAAAAACTAG